AAATCTGTAATCAGAGTTAGCATAGGTCTGTTAAGTATACCATAGAATGCCTCAAGGCTTATCATCAAATTGTTGTCCATTTCCAACCTTACATTTTCCATAATGAGAATTTTTTTTTATTGTTTGTAAGTTAGTAATACACTTCAGTCCTTGCCCTTTTTTCCTGTACTATTGTATTCCTTTTTTTTTTTCTTTTGGTATTCATACAGGTAATCTTCTGCCTTCCAAGATTCTCTATACCTTATTCCACAAGTCTTGGACCTCACACAGCATAACGGTTTAGGAAGGCACTCCTTTACCACCTCATGACTAACCTACCATTGTACCACCAACTCCGAAGTTTTAAAGTCAGATGGATCATCTCAGTTAGGTTTTGAGTGATACCACTATAGTTACATTCACTACTGCCAACATGTCCTTTATACACCACGCTTCCATGGAATTTTCATATTACATCACCATATTCTAGTCTATTTGCTTCCACAGCAAATTTTCATTTTATTATTACACATAGATCCTAGAACCATTGCTTTCCTGTATCCCAGTCAAAAACTAATAGAATATCGGGACCAGCAGTTAGCATAACGGCTATGTTGCTGGATTCCCATGTAGTCAACTGCGGTTCGCTTCCTGGACCTGGAGGTTTAAAACTCACGCTGGGCGTGTGTGTGTGTGCGTGCCCAAGATCCTGAGGGGAGAATGGAGGAGAAGAGACTGCGGCATGGCCATCCCCCCTGGGGGGTGATTTCTCGCTTTCTGTCTCTCTGTCTCTCTGCCTGTCTGGCGAGCGCATGCGCCCTATGGCAAAAAAACTCTCAAAAAACAAAAACAAAAACAAAAACAACCTAATAGAATATGAAGATAAGAGAGATATTATCGGGGTGTTCAAGGGATAGTATGATGATATACTAACCAGTGTAGGAAAATATATTCAAGAGGAATACTACTGAACTTTTCTGAATCTAATGAGCAGATGTCAAAACCAGTAACTGCAGAAGTTCAACCTCGAAGCCTATTGTGTAAATTCTGCCCACACTTCCACCACATCTTCTTTATCAAACCCTTTTAAGAAGTCTAGCCCACACTTATCAAATGAGGTGACTGAGTGAAGTTCAATTTATTTCTTCTTCAAAGTCATATAATATTCTCCAGTTTTGTGGATTCTTTTTACCTATTCCTTTCACTGGATCTAGAGAATCATTTTTAAGCTGTATCTTGTAAATTCAAAGGATGTTACTCCCTGACTTAAACTTTTTAAATATTTATCTTCATATACTGTTACTTTCTTACATGCCTCCCTTGCCTCCAAACTACTTGCAATTCTCAATAGTAAGACTGAGACGCCCGTGTTTTGCCCTTTGTCTGAACTAACATGTAAATATACCCTCTACCATTCTGTTTTCTCACTACTTTATTTGAATTCAATGTAGAGTGGAATATCATAAAAATGGAAGTCATAAGAGAATAGTGAATATATCTTATTTGCTGTTAACCTTTATCATATAGCAAATTAGAGGTAATCATTCATCATTTATTGTTAAATGGATTGTAAGTGTGTGTTTATCAATTTACATATGTTCAAGGGAAGAGCTGTTATATTTTAGAAATATCCTTCAAACCACTTGTTAAAATTGATAAAGATATTGCTCTGGGAGGCAAACTTCAAAATGAAATTTCAATAGGAAGCTGGTTGTTAGGTTGGAATACTCCAGTGTATCTAACCAGACACTTACAATTCTTTACTCTCGTACAACCTGAGGAGTTAATTTAGATTCAAGGCTAGAGATCTTTCCGCTGATAGATGCGGTAAGAGTGTCAGAATACTTCAACTGAACTTTATCAAACTGAGTGGCAGATTGGTTTATCTAAATTAAGGTTTTTTTTTCCCCCTCTACCTTTTAATTGTGGATCATTCTTAAGGTGTTTTATTATAATTGTTCACAGCTTGCGCGGCTTTATTGATTAAACTGCTGTGAAGCTCTTGGTGAAAGTACAGCATAAACCATGTGATATAAGCCTTTTAAGGTTATTGTTATGCTTGCAGTCAGATGGCTGCAGTTGTGATGGCTGTGATTGAAAAACAAATGAAATGTTTTTAGGAAACTGTAATCACATTAGTCTTGACATTTCACTATTTCCCCCTGGGTAACTAATAGACTCTTTCCATTTCTAAGAGGAAACTTCTAATTAAATATTATTTTCCTTCCTTTTTTTTTTTGTTTGAATAGAATTCTAGTGTTATAAAGATCTCAGAGTTGTATGAAGATTCATCTCTTCCTGAGTTCCCACTATTCACACCACTAAATGTGTATGCATCAAACATGTCAAAGGTTTAGGTATGTTTACTTACCATGGGACATACAAAAAATGATTTTATATGAAATTAGATTTTCTTGGAAAACACATAAGGAAAAAAAAAACACATATGATTCATAATGGATCTATTATTGGTGATTACGAAATATCAATTTCATTGAGAATGAATGGGAAGCCAACAAAAGAGATGGACTGTGAGTTTCTTAGACTTCGTAACACTTGAGATATTTTACACTTAAAACGGTGATACAGTAAAACCTCAAGCTCTTTGGGGAGTCAGATTGCTTTTTGGGGATCATTTTTAAAGAATAATTGAATTTAACTTTATTTATTTATTCATTTATTTTGACTTGACCAGAGAGGGATAGAATGAAAATTAGAGAGAGAGGGAGAGAAAGTGAGAAAGCAAGCTGCCAGGTCTGGGATTCAAAGGGCAGTCCAGAACTCTTAACCTCTACATTACCTGGAGAGCACTGGGGATCTAGCTTTATCTCATGATACTTGTGCGATTTTGGGAAATTTATTTAATCTCTTAGGTTTCTGTTTCCTTGTCCATCAAAGTAGGATAATACTTTTTGACTAATAAGGTTGTTGTGAAAATTTAAATGTATAAAAAAAACCTAAGTATTAATATTAGCCTTTAGTCAAAGCTGAACAAAAACTATAAAACAAAATTAAAATGTACACTCAATGTCTGCACTTTATGGCAGAAACCGAATGATTTGAAGAGATAATAGCAGAGACAGCAAGTGTAGATATCAGAGACTATATAGGGGGGGGGGGTGCAGTGAGGGGTGGGAGGGAGGGGCTCAGGGAAAAAAAATATGAAACAGACATCAAAATGGAAAGCTATCCTTGGAGGATGATGTGTATGGTAATATCTGACTTGATTGACATGCAATGCATGTATGTTTTAAAAAACAATATTGTATGCTGATATATGTGTATAATAATTAAATGTAAATGATAAATAAAAAAGTAAATAAAAATTTTAAAAATATGAATGATCTTAGAAAAAATTAAAATGTAAAAATACAGAATTGGTACTTGATTAATAAAAAAGAGACAATTTAATAACTTAGTCCATATAAAATATTTATTTATTTATTTATTTATTTATCTTTTAGTTTTCTTTTTTAAAGAATTACTTTATTTAACATTATTTATTCATTTTATAAAATTTGACCAGAGATGGACAGAGTGAAAGAGAGAGAGATAAAATGAGGAAGCAAGCCGCCAGGTCTGGGACTCGAACTGTAGTTAGCCATATGGGAGTCCAACGCCCTTAACCACCATGCCAATAGTAAGTGCTATTATAGTTCAACTGAACTTATCATCATAAACAGAACACCTACCAGCATGCGATGCTATGAAACATAGAAAGAAAAACAGATAGTATCTTTCTATCAAGGTAGTTGGGTACCCACTGGATACATGACACGGCCCTGAATGCAAATGTGGTAGAAGTAAAATATTGGCATCATTTCCCTTGGGCAGAAAAAAAATGCCACTGAAGTTATTACTAAATCAATAAATGGTAAGTGTGTTGCATATGAATAGTGACTATGTTTAGAGGAAACATTCATACTGAGTCCCTAATGCTGATGAATTAAGTTAAAGCTGTGGCTGGTCAGTGTTTTCTTGAGAATTGATGTTACCAGTCACTTTGTATTCTGGGATTATGCATAAGTGCCATTGCATTACTCCTTGGAGCTCATTACATGTGCAAGTGCGTACACACAGTCAACTAGAAACGAAATATTTAATTTTCTCTGGTAGACAAAGTCTCAAGATACACCCATTATGGATGTATCTGACTGGCATTAATTATTTGGGCATTGTAACATCAGTATTCAATTTACCAATGTTAGGACCCTTCTCAAGAGTGAAATGGCCATGATTTATCTCTCCAAATTAAAAAGGTTGAATAGTATTATCTCATATACATAATTCATTTTAATTAAATGCATATTCTTGAATAGCTTCTTAATGGCTATCCAATGCCTCATTAATCTTAAATGTAACAACCTGAGATCCTTTGGGAGGTCATGTGATAATTCAAAAATCACAAACATGATGTGGAATGCCCAAGTAGAGTGTCTAGTAAGCAACGTATACAGTTGACTACGTGCCAGGAATGGTGTTTATTTTTGATAGTTAGCTCAGACAAACTTCAGAGACATAACATGAACTTGAAAGATCGTTTTTTCTACAATAGTCATTGTCAAAATTCTTTTCCAAATAACATTGGAATGTTCATAATATTTTGATTTTTCTCCAGTAAGGAGAGTTTGTAGGATTTAGGCATACACTGATACGTTGAAATCAAGTACAGTTTCTTTTGTGTAATAGGAGTTACCTGTGCACATTATGTAATGAGTTTCCCAAAAGCAGAGATTTATATTTGTTTTATTTATTCCTCTGTTAACAACTTTAGAAAATTTTCTCAAATACAGGCATTTGATAACAATTCCATGAGTAAATGAATGATCTCTGAATACACTAAAGTGCATTGTGATGGTGCAAGAAGGGGAAGGGTGTACTAGCACTGACCTACTCCATCTTGTTTTGCTGTTTTATACATTTTGAGACAATTGTGCTTTAAGGGAAGTAATTGGATGCCATTCTTGTGTAATACAGTTCTGTCTTCCATCACAATCCCTAGTGGAATCCTTGTGGGGCATCAAGCTAAGAAATGTGATGGATGACCCACCTACCTCCATCCTGTGAGAGAATAGATGTGAGCCACTAAAACAAACTAAAACAAAATTCTTATCTTTTTGAGCTCCCCAAAATAGATCAATGAACAATTAGACATTTGAGAAATACACTTTCCATGCTACCTTTATTTTTTAAATATTCCCTAAAGGATATAAAATCACAATATACTGTATTGTATTATTTTGGCATAGTTTACTTTTATAATCTAGTTTCTTTACTGAGGAAATACTTCTCAAAGAAGAAAAATTAGTCTTTGAGTTAATTTGAGAGAAAGAATAAGAGAGTGAAATGGTTCACATACATGCACACCTTGCCGAGAAAGGCTGCAGAGGCTGTGGAGACAGCCAATCACACATATGCTGCCTCTTATTGACGATAAAACAGACTTCTTGTGAAGTATGAGAAATATATAAGGTATTCTGATTTTTAAAGTGCCTTTACTTCTTTAATTAGGCAATGCTCACAACTTAGTCACATTGGAAGCATGGTTCTCATTTTTCAGATAATGAAATCATGACACCAAGAAGTTGGAGGAATTTGTTCAAGGTCATGTGAGTAGTAAATTGCAGAGGTAGGATAAAAACATTTCCGGTCTCTAAATATGTACACTGGTATGGCTATGAATAAAACAGAAAAGGGGGTTGTGATAGAAATGCAATCGAACTAGACAGGAAGAGATTGCTATAGAAACCTGATATGTCACTGAAACATAAGTCTGCAGCAAAATTTCACAAAGGAACTTATGTTGAAATAGAATCTTGCATCTCATCACACATACACAATGATATGCAGAGAGAGGTTTCCATAAATGAAACTACTCCAATGACCATCCTTTTAATCAAATTGTCCTTCGGTTTATTCAAAGATAGTGGAAATAATATTTATATAGTCCATACAGTATGTCAGACATAGTTCCTATTGCATTGCATGTATTAATTTGTTTAATTCTCTCAATGACACTATGAAATTACAATCCTTATTTTGTAGAGTACAAGACTGAAGCAGAAAGAGGTTAGGTGGCTTGCTGAAGGTTACATAGCTGAAATTTGTACATGGGCAATTTCATTCCAGTGATCATGGTCTTATTTACTCACTACTCTGCTTGTAAATGACTGAGCTACTCTTTTTTCATCCTCCTGGATTAAGAATTTAATGGAGGCAGTTCAATGAAAGGAGTTGAAGGCCAGCCTTCCTGAGCTCTAGTGCAAACCCTAAATTTCTTTTAAGAGATGTTTTTGCTATAGGGCATGTGCACTCGCCCAGAGAAACAGAGAGACAGAAAGCAAGGTGGGATGGTCATGCTTGTAATCCCTTCTTCTCCATTCTCCTCTCAGGATCTTGGGTACGCATGCACACATGCACGGCATGAGTTTTAAGTCACTGAGTGTGGGACTCTGTTGGCAGTTGACTAGGTAGAAGTCCAGTGACATAACCATTACACCATCTCCTGGTCCCCATTAACCTTATTTTGTATAGTTAACACACTACCGAATGTGTCTTTAGATAGCCCTGTCCTGGTGGTATTTTCAATAGCCACTAACCTTGCCTGGTACAGTATGGGGGTTGTAAATTGGCATGGAAATTTAAAGCAGGTTCTTGTTGGTGCACAGCACAAATTAGTTATATATGGGGGTGGCAGTTTTTTCATCTTCAGTTGTCTCTGATGCAGCTTATATGAAATAATTGTTGCTCTATTAACTGAATACCAATCTGTAATTGCAAAAAAAAAAAATAGTTGCAGCTGTTTTGTTGACATTCTGAATGCTTCTAAGTAAATACATTTTTTTTTTTTAAATTAGTATTGTCCTTTTCATAGGTCTGAAATTTACTTCTTCAGGGGAAGCTAGTCTTTTGCTGTTGCCCATTTTGGATCACATGGATTACTACAGTGTTTATCTTTTCATTATAGTTAGCTGATAAAAGGCTTTTGTCGGGAACCAGCAGTTAGCGTAACGGCTATGTCACTGGACTCCCATGTAGTTGACCACGGTTCACGTCCCAGACTCGGTGGCTTAAAACTCATGCAGGGCGCATTTGCGTGCGTGCCCAAGATCCCAAGAGGAGAATGGAGGAGAAGCGATTGTGGCATGACCATGCCCCCTGGGGGGTGATTTCTCGCTTTCTGTCTCTCTGTCTCTTCTGTCTGGCGAGCGCACGCGCCCTATAGCGAAAACCTCTCCAAAAAAAAAAGGCTTTTGTCTACACATCCTGAATATTATGATGGGGGTAATAAAAAATTGAGACAGTTTTCATCCATAACTGAAATTCTGAAATTTTAATCAGTTGATAGCAAATTTCACATAGCCCACTTAACATTTATAGAGTGAAGAGTAACCAGTCTACTTACAGTATGGAATTATTAAAATCAAACATTTTGAAAGCTGTCCTTGAAGGACTAATAGAAAAGGGTGTCCTCATCTTTCCATGAGGACTCTATATTCTTTAACTCCTGTTACCATATAATGGTAGTTATATTTTTGCAGTTCCCATGTTAAAGAAGACTTTAGCATGTATCCCCAATAACGTGAGCTTAAAATACAAGACTGCTGTATTAAAGTTTTTTGTTGGCCTTGGTTCCAGCAAAGGCTATGAAAGTGCTGGCTGTAAATTTTTTTTTCCCCATTTATCTAAATGTGGACTGCTCAGGAAACTTGACTTTCCATTAAAAATATTTTTAATTAGTTGGGCTAGCTTTTAAAACAATGCCACATTTAAATAGGGGAAACATCCCTCTACTGTGGTTTTCCCCTTTATAAATCAGACATGAAGAAAGAAGACAAACTTTTCATCTCAGTACGAATTAGCCAATTTACTTAAATTTTAATTTTTCTTTACAAAACCCAAACTCATTCATTAGAGTCATGTTTATCTGCTTAACAGTTTAGGCAACAATTTGGCAATTTTGTGGTTTGAGATTATCATTCTCTTAAAGTGCCAGTGTTTTAAAATAGCATTCTCGTAATTTTATATGCTTTTATCATGGAGTGTTATTTTGTTACATAATTTTTTTTGAGAGATTTTCACTGTAGGGTGCGTGCGCTCGCCAGATAGACAGAGAGAGACATAGAGACAGAAAGCGAGAAATCACCCCCCAGGGGGGATGGTCACGCCGCAATCCCTTCTCCTCCATTCTCCTCTCGGGATCTTGGGCACGCACGCACAAGCGCCCGGCATGAGTTTCAAGCCACTGGGTCCGGGACACGAACCGCGGTCGACTACGTGGGAGTCCAGCGACATAGCCATTACGCTAACTGCTGGTTCCCTTGTTACATAATTTTGACTTGCATTCTTTCCTTTTGCATTTGTTTATGTAATTTCAGGAGGAATACTGAACATCTGAGTCCTGGATAATACTAATAAACTAATAATTGCAGAGGTTTTTTTTAAAAAATTAAGGGCTGTGTGATTTTGGACATGTTACTTAATTTCTCTATTTCTTTTCCATTGAGTGGGAATGAGAATAGCAAGTATAGACCTCCTGGAAAAATTAAATAAAAGGACAAGTACAAAAATGTTTAGGGAAGTATCTGCTATTTAGTAGAGCCACTTAAAGTTAAAATTATTATTGATTACATGAATTGTTTTAGTAA